AATTTAATAAGAAAATACTGAAAGTAATTTCCTATTAAGCCTACAAAGTCTGAGGCCCAGCCCAGTCCCCAATGGAGTCAATGGCAAAACCCCCAGTGGGAGCTGGATCGGACTCTTAGTCAGTAAACAGCGAAAGCATAACTGCTGTAACTAATTAATAAAAAATGACTATCACTGATAAGATATGCGAGTGACAAAGAAAGAAGTTCCCTTATTTCAAATACACTAATGTTTAATAAAGAATTATATAGAAAAGTTTTGCCATGTGTTGATTTAATGACCATGGACAGCATGCTCACTGTCTCATGGAACACTACGGAGTCCCTGCTACAAGAAACTTGCATTCTAAGGCTCTGAACCTACAGATGCTTGTGGGTGGATCCTTTTGTGTGCACAGATATCCATGGACTCTAACGGGAATCTGTGAGGGTGCAAGAGTCTTCCTATGAAGATTTTACAGTAGTCAAACAGCAGTCCTATAAATGAGGAATATAACTACTAATATTCCTCTGTATATTCTTCAAAGAATAGGGTAGACAAATCAATGTAGGTTGACTTTCACAGTCCATTAGGAAAAACTGTACACCACTTTGACATTGTTATATAATACGTTGCGCAATTTTAAAATATTACTTTTTAATGGTTTTCTTCTTGTTGAATAAGACCCAGAAATCTTTTGTGAAGGGATGTTTTATAAACAAAAAAAACCCTACACCTTTCCTCAAAGGATCTTAAAGATAGCTATAAAAATTAATTACTCCTCAAATTTCCTATTCCCATTTTAAAGTGGTAGACACACATCGAGGCACAATGGGGTTAAGTAGCTTGCCTGCTGAAAACTCAACACAAAATTCAGGAGTTCTGACTTCCAGTCCAATTTTCCACACTTTATGTTTGTATTCTATGAAAATATAACAATTTTAAAAGTAGTCCGGTAAAGATTTCTCACACCTTTAATGGATGCATGAACATTTTTACCGTACCTACCAACTAGAAGTCAATACAAAAATTGAGATGGTTCCCATTAGCAAGAGCCAATGGCAATACCCTAGTAAGCTCAGACCCCACTCCTACTAGATGGCAAATCAGAGGCTGCTGAGATTTATATGAAGGTGATATCAAGTAAACTAAGAAAAAATAAGATAGAGGAGCTTTTTAAAGTTTAAATGTATGTATATTATTGTTATGCAGTCTTTACAGTTTTTTTTTTTAACAGAATAACTAGTTTCATTGTATGGGGTACAATGTAAAGAGGAGCATTTAGAGAGCAAAAGGCAGTTTTGGAAGCACAAAGTAGTTCGTAAATATTCAAACTGTTCAACAGTGTCTTAAACTGATTTGATTTTAGGTTTCAAAACATTTTTTAGGATATAATTTTAATTTAAAAAACTGCATAAGAAAGTCATTGTCTTTTTGCATTTGTTCAGATTTGTAGTTGTAAGCTATGGCTGTTTCAATCTTAAAATGAAAGTTGTTAAAATTAAATCATAATGGAGTTTCTGCTGCATACAAAATAACAAATATGCTTTTTCGGAAAGCATGTCTGCCTTTTAATGAAGAGGACAGAGGTCCATTTGTGTTTGCTTCCTTATCTGCTCCCCCGGATAATTAATCATGCATGACAGAATATCCACAGCTCAGAATATTTAACTCTTGCAAGGATTAGCAAGGGTAACAAGATTATTATATGGATAACATGAATATCTAGTTACCATAAATAATGACAAATTGTAAGGGACATTAAACTTCATGCTTCAGACAATCTCTGACTATTAGAAAGTAGGATAAAACCTAATGCAGGAGGCAGATTATCCTGCATCTGCATACCTTCCTCTGTCGCATCTGATGCTGGCCACTATCTGAGATAGGATACTGACTAGACATACCTTAGTTATGATTCAGTCTGGCAATTCCTCTGTTCCTAATAGAGGGAAGTTTTGTTTCATTGCTACCATTAATTCAATTTAAACTGCTAGTGACAAAGTCATTACCATCTGAAGACTGTCTGGTCTATGGAAAGTGAGTTTATGGTGTCAGACTAGTTCCTACTGGAGGTGTCTACATCAGTCACTCTACAGCTGACATCTATGTTGCTTGCCTCAGTGGAGACAGCCAGAATTAAATGAATGGTCATGGATGCAAAAATACATTCTTACCACAGAAGTGATCCTTCAATACAGAATTGAGACACACTTGCCAGAAACTTGACTGTACTTATTCTATGGATAAGGAAAGGGCTTCACAAGCACTAAATTAATATTTTTAGGAGGAAAAAAGCTGATGTAGAATCAGCACAAAATGCTGGTCTTGTGCAAACCATGCAAAATGTCTAACTAAAAACCACTGAAAGTGGTGGATTTTATAACCTGCTGACATTGTACTCTAGTTCATTATTTTAAGGAGACAAAATTTTGACACTAGCCCTGTTTATATTGAGCCATATTACCGACTTAAACCATGCTCTTGCTAGAAAGGTGCTAACAATGTTGCCAGCTAACGTAGGCAGAATTTTATCCTAATAACAAAACTGTGCTCTTAAATGAACATAATCATTCTACTAATATGAAGAAAAAATGTAAATTCTTTCCTAGTTTCTATTTGAAATTGTGTTTTTTGGATGGTTGGGATGAGGAGAGGGTAAGTACTTATGCATAAACGTTGTACATTATTCACATCTTACCACATCCTCTTTTGCACAGAGTTGATGCGTTACCATGAGCCAAGAACAGTTTTTCTTCTGTACCTCATAGCCATTGAAACCCTAATGAAAAACAAATTATTAAAATAGCACTACAGTTATAAAAACAAATGTCCTTTGCATTCTTGGCTTGGGACACAAGGATGTACAGAAATATTCTCTGATCAATAACCATAACTATATCAACAATCTTAATGTTATTTATTTATATAACTTTCATGTGATTTTTTTTTTAAACTATCAAATCTAGGTAGGTATTTACACCACCTAGATAACAGTAGCTAAGCAGGTAGTTTAATTTAATCCTGAATATTAATGGAAAAGTGTTCTGATTTCACCCACATTCAGCTGTAGCAATGTGATCTAGTATTTGCAGAAAAAAACCACAAAGATGCTAATTCAAGATCTTTGAAAGAACTTTTGTGGTGTCGCACTGATTAATATGAAAAATTCAATTAGATGTATCTAAACATGAATCTCATGATGGGAAGCAACAAAATACAATCATATATGCTTTCCCCATACCACCTTACACTGGGGATGTTCTCTATTAAAATTTATTTACCGTACATTTTGGAGTTTGAGTTATGCACACAACTAATCTAAGGACCTGTTTATAGTGGGAATATTTGTACTGATGCAGCTACACCACTGCAAAACTGCAGATGTGCTGCACTGGTGTATTATGGGATCTTAAAATTCTACATCTCTAACATTTAAATAAGGAACTAGCATGTTCTTCTGTGTAATCTAATCTGCACTTTGCATATAAAACTTGTGGTTTTGATAAATTTATGGAGAGTGCATGATGAAAATTAAGTCCATGAAAAATCATGTAGTATAATTTGTTAAAGGAGATTGGTTGTAATTATCATTACTATAAATCAGTGTGTCAAGACTTAACAATCAGTTGCTTGGGAATGGCTAAAGAATATTAGGATCTGGATAGAACTGCCAATTTAAAACTTTGTCCTCTGGGAGAAACACTCTGACTACACTATATTTTTGGTGTTGCTCAGATCCCAAAATGATAGTTGGTTGCCAGATTAAACCCCTAGACAGATCATGTGATTCAAATGTCAGATGCTGGTGCTGTGTCAATTCTACTTTTATTTTGGTATACTTTAGTGTTCTGTGCTCTTAGTTTACATCACATAGACAACAACAATGAAAATGAGATCATCATATGAAACTGAGCAAGGACTGATGCCAAGTCTTCCTACAGCATAAGGTGGAGGGAGAAATGAACCACATGCTTTCAGTAAACTTCTCTTCTACGCTAGTGCTGCTATAAACACCATGGTGAATTTGCTATAAACACCAAAAACTTTAACTGTAATATTCCAAAAACTATTCATAAGCTGGATAAGAGACAAAGGTGGGGTGGGACAGGATATAACATCTCCATGTAGCTGCAGAACAGAAAAGACTACAGCACGCACGTAACTAGGGATAACCTGGGCCAGGACTTGTGGGTTGTAAGGGCCATGCCTCCTGCACGGGGGCAGTTGAGCTTGGGGTGTGTGTGTGGGGGGGTTATTATGGGGTGGGTTTCTGGCCCTGTGACCTCACGGGAGCCCCAGCTCGAGAACAGTGGGCGCCAGAAGGGAATCCCAGGGCTGCACAGGTGACGGAGGGTCCCCAGGAGGCGCAGCGCGGAGCCTGCTGGGCAGCGCTGACAGCGCGGGCACTTCAAAGTGGGGGGGGGTTGTCTCCGGAGCGGAGCCGCGCTCGGCGCTGTCTCCCCACCATGACACCCCCCCCCTTTCCTCAGACCACTGCCAGCGCTGCCGGGGAGCCACTCGCCCCACGCGGGCTTGAGGGGGAGGCGGCCCCGGGGGTGTGGTGGGGTCTGTGGTGCGGCCCCGGGCCCGAGGGAGGGCAGCCGGACTCACTCGGGCGGGGGCCTGCGCGAGCAGGAGGCGGCCGGCGCAGGAGCTGGTGGTGCAGAATCGCTCCTGCCCGTTGAGGAGCTGCACTAGCTCCGCGATGGCCTCGTCCACGCTGCCCTTCCTGCTCTCGTCCGCCCGGGCCAGACGCTGCTCCTTCCAGCGCCGGAAGGCGGCCATGGGTTCGCGGGGACGGAGAGCCGGGCTGGGACCGGCAAGCGGGCGAGCCCCAGGCTGCACAGCCGCCCTATTGGCTGATGGTGGCCGGGTTGGGCCAAGCCTGCCGGCCCGGCTGCAAAGCGCGCCGGGCACTTCCGGGCTGGGGGAGGGGCTCTGTGTGCCGTATCGCCGAGTAGAAGCCGGAAGAGGCGGGGCTGGATGGGGGAGGGTCTAACGGCCCTGGGGATGGGCGGAGCTGCTGCTACCTGAGGAGGTCGGACCGCGGGAGGTGAGGCGGCCTCGCGGCCGGGGGGTTACGCACTTAGCCGCGGGAGCAGGGGGTGGTCGCAGGGCGGCTAGAGGGCCCGGAACTGAGGGGGGGCCTGAGGGCAGGGCCGGTTCCGAGCGGGAGGGCGCGGAGACCCGCCGTCTCTGGGGAGCCCCAGGGAGACCCCTGCGCCCCCGGGGCCTCGCTCCCTGTGTCCCGTGTCCGGGCCGAGGCCGCTTGGCTGGAAACGGGCTAACCCGCTCCTCGGTAGCGGGCAGATCCCGGGCAGCGCCTCATGGCGCTGCCACCAGCCCGGGGCACGGGCGTCTCCCCTCGCTCTTCCCTCCCTGGGCGCGTCCTGTCCGCACACCCCTGGCTGTCGGGGGCGGCGGCCCGACGCGGAGCTCAGAGCCGGGATCCCCGGGACGGCCGTTCCCGTGTTCGGGCTGGTGTTCGAAACGGCGACAGCCTCCTGAGCCCTGCCTTGGAGCAATGGCAGGAAACCTTGGGGGGAAACAGTTGTGTAACGTGGGCCGGGGGGTGAGCAGACCAAGTCATCGGATCTAGCGCTTTGGGCTCTAGTATCGGCTCCATCGGCAAATCCCGTAGATAGAATTTGAGTGCTTAAAATTAGCCACTGGAATGTGGGTTTAGACACCAAAATGAAATTATGAAAAGGCTTTGAAACTAACCCACCACTCCAATATGAGATAGGAATTGATACCATTTTACAGCTGGAGAAACTGAGGCACAAAGGTGTTAGGGTCAGAACCTTCTAATGTAAGCACTTACTTTGCATCCTGAAGGAGTGGCATTTAAATTCACTGTAACTCCTTACTTTTATAATATTTAAAATGACTATCATTTAAAATCCATTTTGCTGGACCTGCCTCAGGGAGGACAACTGTACAATTCGAGAACCAGTTTTCTAGAAGGACTTAATATCTTAATATGAGGATCCAATCCTTCTGAAAACCCTATAGGTGGTTTTAGGGACAACAGTTTATATGTTATCAGGTGTTACTGGAGACAGTCTTGATTCTCTTAATTGGGAGACAGTACTTTAGCAGGTTTAGAAAACCTACAAATATTTTATGGAATATGAAATGCCCATGATTTTGGAATTGGGATGTTTGGATCTGAAACAATAAGCCAGTTTGGAATGATGCTTAATAATATACAGGGACACCATTTAGTTGTTTGAGTGTGGTGTTTCTGAAGCCAAACCTAGTTTCCAATGTAGGACTGAAAATTAGACAGGAGTAATTCTGAACCTTGCACCTGGAAATGAATTTTGGTTTGAAAGTATAACAAATACACTTTCAACAGGGTATAAATAAATCTGTTTACAGTCTTGGAGCCCTATATTTCCATCTCCCTTATGTGGAGACCCCTGTTATTCAATTGGAACTTTTAGGCCCTAGGCTGCAAGTGAAATTGCAGTTATGGTTAAGAGTATATGTGTAAAATTTCTACACAGAAAATATAAAATGTGTAGTGTTCTCACAGTGTGAGGAAGAGACATTTAATGAGCACACAGGTAATATTTTAAGAACTCTGTGACGTCTGCTAGGGAACTCACTGCAGATTTAATTTATCTGGGAAAGTGTAAATAGGCACTATAGAAAATCCTTAAATTTGGGTTTGTCTACATATGAAAATTATTCCAGATTAAGGTAGGCTGTGAATTTAAAGCCCAATAACTATTCCTGAATAACATTATGTTTTGGTGTGGCTTAATCCAGTTCCAAAGAGGATTAAGCTAATTTGGAAAAAGGCATTCTTATTCTGGCATAACTACTGCATGTATAGATAAACCCTGAGACAAGAGCGCGCTAATGAGAATTAGAAGTTCTCAGAGGGGTAGCCGTGTTAGTCTGGATCTGTAAAAAGCAACAAAGAGTCCTGTGGCACCTTAAAGACTAACAGATGTATTGGAGCATAAGCTTTCGTGGGTGAATGCCCACTTCGTCAGATGCATGTCACCCACGAAAGCTTATGTTCCAATACATCTGTTAGTCTTTAAGGTGCCACAGGACACTCTGTTGCTTTTTAGACGTTCTCAGACTCCCAAACTGATAAATGCATTTTGCAGTGCCTATGGAAGCAAAACAGGGTCTCCAATGTCCTGGACTATGCTTTCAAATAAAAAATAAAATAACTTGCAAATGTCTTTTATTCACGTTCATGCTTTTAGGTTTAGAGTATTAAAAGGCATAAAGAGGAGCTTGTGATTCAAGAAAATATAGTAGAACCTCAGAGTTATGAACACCAACCAGAGTTACGAGCTGACAGGTCAATCATGTACATACCTCATGTGGAACTGGAAGTACCCAGTCAGGCAGCAGAGACAAAACAAACAAATACTTGTACAGTATAGTACTATGTTAAACATAATATTCTAAAAAAAGGGAAAATTAAAAAAAAGTTTGACAAGGTAAGGAAACTGTTTCTGTGCTTATTTCATTTAAATTAAGATACAGTAGTTAAAAGCAGCATTTTTCTTATGCACTGTAAAGTTTCAATGCTGTATTAAGTCAATGTTCAGTTGTAAAGTTATTTTGAAAGAACAACCATAATGTTTTGTTCAGAGTTATGAACAACCTTCATTCCCGAGGTGTTTGTAACTGAGGTTCTAGTGCAGGGATTGGCAACGTTTGGCACGCCGCCTGCCAGGGTAAGTCCCCTGGCTGGCTGGGCCGGTTTGTTTACCTGCCGCGTCTGCAGGTTCGGCTGATCGCAGCTCCCACTAGCTGTGGTTCGCTGCTCCAGGCCAATGGGGGCTGCGGGAAGCAGCGGCCACCACTTCCCTGGGCCCACACGGCTTCCTGCAGCCCCCATTGGCCTGGAGAGGCAAACTGTGGCCAGTGGGAGCTGCGATTGGCCGAACCTGCGGACGCGGCAGGTAAAAAACTGGCCCGGCCTGCCAGGGGGCTAAAGGTTGCCGATCCCTGTTCTAGTGTATCTGTCTTGAACTACTACATTTAGCTTCTGTTTTATCACCAGAGTTTGTGTGTGTGACCCCCTGCCCTAACCGCCCCCCACGCCCGGGATCCCATCCCCTGTCCAACTCCTCCCTGTCTGCCCCAAGCCCTATCCACACCGTGCCCTTTGACAGCCCCCTCGGGACTCCAACGCCTATCCAACTGATCCCTGTCCCCTGACTGCCCCCCAGAACCTCCTGCCCCTTATTCAACTCCGCTCCCCGCCCCCTTACCATTGCCGCTCAGAGCACCGGGACTGGCAGCCGTAAGTAGTACACGGTAAGTAGCACATTCCTACGGGGAGCAATTTAATACACTACACCTCACTTAACGT